CCATAAGTACTGTACGGAATATAATAATAATACCTTGCTGTAGTCTCCACTTGTAACACTGCGCCGGCATCACCACCGCACATCATTCACTCACTCTGGAAGAGAGAGAACGAATCAGGGGCGCGAGGAACCATAGACAAGCCGAGGCCAACAATTGGCCAAGCTCTGCAGTCCTCGATGTATATGTAAGGTGTCATCGGGCAATTACTGAGCGTTTTACACGTGGGAGGAAACCCGGGCACCCAGAGAAACCCCACGCATGCGAGGGTGTAACACTCTATCCCATACAGACGGAACAGGTGGTGTTGGACCAGAAGTGGAGACTAGGCTCTAAGAAAAGCTGTCTCGGGTGTGGACCAATCAATTTCAAGGACAGTGCATATCATTATCAGAGTTGTCTCTTTTTGTTTGCATTTTGACTGCTTGTGTTGTGGTTATTGCAAACATGATCCTTTGCATAAAGGTGTCAGTTTTTGTGCCAGATAAAAGGGTAAAAACCTATTACTATATCTTGCTACTGGCAAAGGAAGTCTCATAGTGAGCCTCAATTTCTTCACTATTTTGTCAACAAATACAGAGAGACTCGTGCATTCTGAGCCAATTTTCCACGGCCCTGTAGCAGCACAGACTACGTGGGAGGGGGGTTTTGGTGTGGGGGGGTGTAATCGTCAATACGTTTCAAAACGAATTTTAAAACGCGGGTGAAAAGGTCAGACGGGACGGCTGAGGGCCCGTTGTGGTGCCCGTGCGATGCCCCTTCTGCTGCCTTTTGATGACGCGGGGCGTGCGCGTCGCTCACGACCACCCAGAGGTTGCCCTTTTCCCTCTCCCCCCTCGGCTTGCAGAGTTCAGCTTTGATCTCAGCACGGGGGGGGGGGGGGGTCACTGAGACACCGCGCGCGGGAGCCGTGCCGGATCCACAGCCCCCACTCCCAGCCGTAGAAGCAACGCGCCGTGAATTATTTGGAAGCCCGCTACTCCACGGCCACCGCCGAGACATTAACAACGCGGCATCGACGTGGAATCGACACAAAACCACAACAACAACAACCAACAAAGAAACACCCAAATATAAACCACTACAGAGGCGTTTGCTGCTTTGAACGAGGTGATAGACGGTCGTCGTCGTTGTTGTGGCGGAGGGGGGGGGGCATCCGTGGGTCGCCCCAAGCGCATGGGCGACAGCGGACTCGGTGAGCCGATGGAACGGCCACAGTGGAGACGGAACGACGGCGAATTCAGCTCGCGTGGAGGAGCTACATCGGCGTGAGATCGTGAGGGATGGTGAGAGCGTTGGGTAAGAGCCTTCATCCAGCAGGGAATAAATCATGGCCGACGATGACTGTATACGGAGTGATTCAAAGAAAATGTTAACACTTCTGCGAATTTGCAACAATGCCACGAGAAATGTGCTGCCTTTGTGTTCTGGAGACCACCTGGAGAAGATTCCAGGCCACGTGTTGACAACGATGAATAATAAGTGGAGACTCTTTGACTTTTTGAAGCTATTAACATACAATTGTTATCATGTTACAGTGTAGTATTCGTTCTTTTTTCCATTAAAACCGATAGTGCCTTATAGGTGTTAACATTTGTTTTAAGCACTGTATTTGAACGGCACTGCAGGTTTCCAGGGCACCCATTCGTTTTAAAGAATAAATCGCGGTTTGATGAAGTAAATAAAACATCGTCGATGAGGATATTTGCCACTGATTTTTGGGGCTCGAATCCAGATTTCTGGGTCCATACGACAGGGCGCTTACAATATTGTCACAACTTCACACATATACGGACAAAGCTAAAGGTCCTAAGTGTAGCCTACACAGACTGTTGGGGCAGGTGTCGTTCGCGATAACTTATGAAGGTGGCACGGTACACGAGGGGATGGGTCACCAAACACCACGCCCACCCGCATTTGTCTCCCCAGTGCTGATGTTTACACACCGCACGTGGTGCACCACTCATTTAAGGCGGAGTCGACCTGGGAGAGACCGGTTTTATATATTCGCCACGAATGTTGGCCGTGAGCGGAAATCGAACTCGGGTCGTCGTGTTCGTAGCGCGAGTGCGCTAACCACTACACCACCGCTCCCACAATATGCACACACAGACACACGCGCGCGCTCGCGCTCATGCTAACAGCGCTCGGCTCTCTAATTTGACAGCCAATTTGTTTTTCGTTGCATCTCCTCGGGCCACTTTGAGGATTTACAAATCGGGTGGCCTCTACGACATCAGGAACAGCGGCGGCAGCAGCGGCTAAAAATAGCCTCGGGTGATGGGGGAGGAGGCGAGGGGGCAAGCTTCCAGCTCCATCCGCACCTCCCCCAGAAGTAAGGGTGGAGGGAGACTCTGCGATGGTGGATGGATACGGGGAGGGGGTGAGTCGCAGAGGGACAAGAGAACGAGAGACGGAGAGAAGCAGTGACATACGTGCACAGGGGCCTCCTCCTTTCAGAGGGGGGGGGGGGGAGTGATGTTATCTGTCTCACACTGTGGCTCTCTGTGTGTCTCTGTGTGTTTCTCCGTGTCATTTTATCACTCCCCGTGTCTCCGTCTGTCTCTTTGTGTGTGCAACACGTACACGTGAACAGTGTACTCGCTTCCAACCCCAAAATGTATCTGTGCCTGTCTCTCTGCCTCTCTGTTTGCCTCTGTCTATTTATGTGGCTCTGTCCGCCTCTGTCTATTTACGTGGCTCTCTGTATAACTCTGTGTGTCTGTCTTTGTCTGCTTCTCTCTATCTCTCTCTCAATCTATCCTTCTGTGGCTCTCTATGTGTCTCTCTCCGTGTCCCTCTGTCTGGTTTCACTCCATGTATCTGTCTCCAGGATCTCTCTCCATGTCTGTATGTTTCCCTCTATGGCTGTCTGTCTTTGTGTTTGGCCCTGTATCTCTGTCTTTCGGCCCCTTCCCCGTCTCCACGTGACCCACTTCTTGTTGGGACAGGCAACGTCTGATGAAGAAATGCAGGGAATGGTGTCAAGGTCAACACAATCACGGCCAATACCATCGATGCCACCACAGCTCATCATTGATTAATTCATTTCGCTAGATCCTTCAACTGTTGCACGGTCAACACCCTCACGTGGCGTAGCATGGTTGGCGTGGATCCTGGTGCAAAGAATTAAACGGTGCCCCCTGTCCAATGTCACCGCTCCCCTCCTCGTAGCGCCCCCAGCGCCTGTGAGCCTCTGGCCTGTGAGCCTCCCGCCCGTGTCGCCCTGGTTCAGCTGCACAGCTTGCGAACCAAATAGCCGCACCACTGCGCACCTCTCTCCAATGCCCTAAACAACTCACTCCTCCATTCCCCTTCCCTCGCCGTCCCTCACCTGCCCCCTCCATATCTGCCCCATAGGACCCCCTCCTCCACATCCTCCTCTTCATTCTATACATTGACCCACTTTCACCCAATCCCCTCTCCGCCCTCAGGTCCGATGTTAGAAAGCGATCCCAGATATAGCATTAATTCTGCTTCAAAGGCACTTCATCAGCTTGTCTCACGCCGTGCTGCTGCTGCTCGCTCCGTGCCTTGCATGCAACACAATACGCAAGGCGTCTCCAACCGCGCTTTCTCCTGCCTCGTGCAACCTGCGCTCCTATCCTGGGATGAAGTGGTGGAGAAGATGCCCTCCCCCCCCCCCCGATATTCCTAAAAAGAGTCCTCCACCTACCTACCAATCCTTCGCTCTCACTTCATCTAGCGCCACACTGGAGATTTTATGTGAAACACTTATCATCGTCTTCATCATCATCAATCATCAGCAATGGTCTATCCGCTGCGGGATAAAGGCCTCCTCAAGCCGTTGCTATCTCTCGCAGTCACACGATGTAACTATCCTCCTAACTCTTGCACATCGGCTACATCTTATCGTTCCATCGCTAGGGTGGTGCTACCCCTGGTTGCCTCTGCGCCGTTGCGCGCCACTTCGACTTCCGTGACAGATTGGCTACTGGCGCAGTACCCAGCTACCGTCTACAGTATCTCATGGTACTGTCATCAGCATCATCAGCACCTACCCATGTCACCTCGTCGATGGGAGGTAAGGGGGGAGAATGAAGGCCTTTATCTCACGCCGCCTCATCATTGGCCAAGGTCAATCCACTGTTGGATGAGGGTCGAGCTGTGCGAGTATAGAGGAAGCTCAGCGCCACTATGTTGCTGCACTGCCCACTTCTGGCCACTAGGTGGCGCTGCAGCATAACAAACAACCTGTTCGTACATGGCTGGGACAACCTTCCAAACACTATGGGGGTCCCAGCGCTTTTTTGCTTAGCTTGCGATATTTTGCTCAGCTTCAACGTATCAATAACAGACGTGGTCGATCCACTGCTGGACGATTGCCTCCCAACGCTGCCGCCGTCTCAAGATCCTGCGATGCAACGATGTACCTGCACACGCGAGCTGGAGTCATCGCTCCATCTCCCTTTGGTTAACGTCCTCTGGGACCCGTTCCATTGATTGGGTCATGCTGCTTATTCTCCGTTGTTGTTAACATTGACAATGAATCCGTGGCCCTCTTTTTGGACACCTGCGGACAAACCAAAGCCTATCATGGGGGACACGGGAACCACGCAAGGCGTTTGTGATCACGATAACACGCCCGAGAGGACATACACCGTGGAGATGGAGCGATTTATGTAGTTTATTGGAAAAATTCGGTCACAGTCCCTATGATCACTGTTACGTTGCAATTATGGCTTTATTTTTTGGTGATTTTGAAAAGTGTTTTGGTTTGGACATGTTTGTTTTGTTGTAGTACGGAGTTAGACTGATGGCCTTAATCTAAGTTTTCTTGTGGTTGTTGTTGTTTGACTTGCATCCAACTGGGATTTTTTTGCACACAGCGTTGGTGTACGGTGCTTTTTTCAGGAATATTTTGCTGTTTTTTTCATGGAATTTCTATTTGCACAGTCACATAGTCACTTTAAGATGTTTTTCTTGTTCGTGTTTTTTTGTTGTGGTTGCACCCGATTCAAGAGCCGAATGGCTCACAGGGCTATACCAAAATAAATAAAGTGAAAACTGAAACTGAATGACGATGACGACGACGACGAAGAGATGGGCTCGTGTGCTGGAGCTAGTATTGTGGCATGGAGAGACCGTGAGAAGTGGCGATGGTTTGGGGAGGCGCCTCAATCCGGCAGTGGATCAACTAAGGGCAACATTTGGTGATGTTTCTGCTACTGCTGCTGCATTGGCAGTGGTGCGCAAACAGCACTCAACACAGTCATCAATAGCACTGCGTGTGGCCTTAAGCGGAACAAAGTATGGCTCTACTTCAAAGCGTATACATTTAGAGGCCAGAGAGAAGGAGTGGATCATAAGAAAAGCGATTGTGCAATCCGTCTCTCTGGCCTGTCTATCTAGGTACTATCAATAAGGGCCATTGTCAAAAACGTCGCCTATTATGTGTTTCCCCTTCAAGGCCACACACACACAGTGCTGAGCGTTTTGATGAAAAATGGAAAATGGGTGTAAGTGTGCATATGGCAAGGCGATACATTCGGCGTGCAACTTAATTCCACAGCGTAATTGCCACCGCCGCATTCGTTGTATTTTAACGAACCCAGAAGTAATTACCCACCAATAATGATCAATGAGTTATCAACTTTAGCGAGTTCATTCAAGGCGTGCTGCTGCTGCTGGCCAATTTCCCAAGCGCCTTTGAGCGCGTGGGGGCGGCGTGACGTCACACCGTCATGGCCGCGCCCATGGGTAACGTGGGCGACGCCGCGCCGGGTAATGGGGACACGGGGACACGGGGCTCTGAGGCTGGAGACAGCACGGAGACACGGGGCTCTGGGGGTGGAGACGGCACGGAGACACGGGGCTCTGGGGGTGGAGACGGCACGGAGACACGGGGCTCTGGGGACGAGCGCCATGGTCTGCACCTCTTCCCCGAGCGGCTGGTGCCTAAATTCAAGCGCGGATTCGCGGCCAGCGCGAAGTGCAACTTCATGCTGAAGGTCGCGCTGGAGTCGAGTAAGAGCGCCGCACAGCACGCTACATCACGCTGTGCACCAAGCTACACTACACACCGCACTCTACACCACGACACCCAACACTACACACTATCGCACCACACACCATGCCGCACACTGCACTATAAACAACACCACAACCCGCGCTACACACCGCCTTTGCCGACAGCATATACAACAGCACACTTCACACTATCACGTGCAGCTGTTTCGATACTCCCATTTTAACGCACTGATTTAATTTCCATTGGTGCAACCTGCATTTTTTTGTTTCTTTCAGATCCGTATGCAATACTTCTACAAGATGCTTTGAAGAGATCGGGGTGGTACGTGGTGTTTGTTGTTTTTTGTTTCCTTCGAACGCCTAATGATGTTAACCCTAACTCAATGTCTGGTGCGGTTCCGCGGTAGTTGGCGCACTGCGTTCTTAACCAGAGTTCGATCCCTGGTATCGGTGGCGAGTGCTGTCCGAAGCGCCGATCCTGAACCCCTCTTCCTGCTAAGATCTCCCCCCGCCTCTGTCCACCGAGCAGTGTCAGGATACTTTATCAGGAATATGTATCTAAACTGGGGGAATCTGATGAGCTATGAAGCTCTTTTCCACAGTCGCTTCACAGACGTTCAGCATAGACGGGGGTGTGGAAGATCGCAGCCTTCACGCGGGCCCACTCTGTTAAGTGAGAAATCGGCGCCTACCGAGAAGCACGGTGGGCTACGTGCGGTGCGAAAGAAGTTCAACGTACAAACAAATTACGACGAACGCTATCAACGCGGCGACCGATCATCCGGAGCAACAGCGCAAGCTACACCAACGGCCATCGTCAGGGCCAAACAACGCCCAAGTTAGACACCGGGACAAGGATCCTCCGACTGAACATTGAGGACGGACTCTGCCGGGCGATGAGAGAGAGTATCGTATCTCGCTGACTTCATGACGACCAATAACGTCGATCGAGAATAGATGGGAACGAAAGTCAACCAGGAGGTCGCGGTGTGGCGGGGTAAAGTGTGAGCACCCCCCACCCCTTACCAAGACGTCTGGCCAGCGAGGAAGAGTAGGCAAAAACCCTCTAGAGGTGAAATCTTGACTGAAAGCTTTCGTGACTGCAGGAATTCATATTCGTTGGGTGTTTCGGTAAAGTCACGTAGATAGGTTCACAATTAATAAAAAAATAAACCAAAATACGATGTTTCGATCGCAACACAAGCGATCGTCTTAAGGTGAAAAAAAAATACGATCGCTTGTGTTGCGATCGAAACGTCGTGGTTTTTACTGGTAGGAACGAAGTTGTAAATTGAGTGTACCAGCCTGCAATATATTAATATGTCCGTCCGTCCCCTTTCAATACTTTAACGAAGTGAAATCTCGTGCTGTTGGGTGTAAAATCAGCAATAGACAGCGCAGAGACTTGTCCTACCAGCCCACCCTGCAGGGACCTGTTTTTGTTATAAATTTTGAACCTATCTACGTGATTTTACCGAAAGCCCCAAAGAATACCCTCCAGAGGTGTTCTCTAGAGCTCCCTCTCGTGGAGGCACTTCCACAGCAGTGACGTGAGCAAGCTATTGCAGGGCTGCACCTTTGCCTTTTATACAGTGGCTACACCAGCCTCTGCGTCTGTTCTGCACAGCTGCCCGCTATATCCATGTTATTGTATCCACTCAGTGCAGGGCTGGGCCAAGTTGAACGAAAGTGAAGTGGCTCAATATTGATCAATTATCGCGTCAGTCCAATTGTTTATTTCGCCTTAGAATATACTGGATTAGACGCGCTAGATCTTGTAAATAGGGCGAGTCATTGGGCGTGCTAATGCAGCTCTCAGCGATTGTCATTTTCACATCAGTGTTGCAAATTGCGTTTAGCCTCCCCGTATTGGCGTGCGCTTTGAGTGATAAGTGGCTTTTCATGTTCTGACATTTTTGCCCAATTTTATCGCCATTCTGCTTCCGACCTCGTGTCACAGACGAATCGCCGTACTCATTCAGAATTCTGACAGAGCAATGCAACCCGCAGTGTTAGAACTACATCCGATATCTCTTGAGTTGTCTCTGATTCGTACAAGGGGGAAGCATTTTACAACCTGCTTTGCACATTAGAGTAATGTTAGGTGCATGGCAGTCAAACCAATATCTAATTTTCAGAGCTAATTGAGTAATGAACCAAACTTACTGTGATGGGTTTTGTTGTGCGGTCATGTGACTGGGCTTAAAGACCATCGGCTCGCTACGCTGAATTGTTTACGGTAAAATTTTTATGGCACTGTGGGTAAAAGCAATGTGACTCGCAGTTAACAGATTGCGTTCTATCATGGTGGGGGATCGACGCATCCTTCTGGGGGTCGATACAACGAGCACCGCTTTGTAGGATGTAAATATTGGATGTCCCGTCGGTAGATTTTGCCTCTGACATACAAGTGTGGAATTTAAAAAAAAACTGGCTTAAGAGCTGTAAACTGCTCATTTGATTGAGGAAACCACTGACAGATGTTGAATATAAACGCACGTGTCCTGCCAGGCTGTCGTGGGGTGACAGTGCCACGAATTGAAATGTTTGCTTCACGAGCTCGCGTTGTTTTGTGCAGCACCGCGTACAGGGATCGACACTTCTCATGCGAAGAGTGCGACAATAAAGTTGCCGGGGGATTCGACTCCCACACGTCACAGGTGCTTCTTACAAACCCTGCGCTTGACCTTGGCCTGTGAGCATCCTGCTTCGTCGGAATAATTCACCACTGGAGCGAGGCTTCGGGCCTCTCATCTAACGCTCTCGTCAAACCTTCCCAACACACACCACGTTATCTGGGATTGGCGATCTGGTTTAATGATGTCGGGGTTACACACGGAACCAGTCTAAAGTAGGCTTGTAACGATTAACTGCGTAAACGATTTGAAATATTACGATTTGGTGGCATATTTTTGTACCGATAATTAATTTTGTGGTATATTTATGCGAGAAGAGACTTTTGTCATCTTTTCGCCGGCTCCATTGTATTGTTTCTCACTTGTCCAATTTAGTTTGGCTTCCGTTCCAAAATGTAATTCTAGCTCATCATTTGCATGTAACTTGCATAGTTGTAAATAACAGATTCTTACGCGCATGATCCGATGCCTGTATCGTGACCCTAAGAATCGCTATTCATCATAGAATCAATGCATCCTTACATGCTTAGTATCAAGAGGCTATAGCAGCCTATAGGCGTGGACCGCATTGGTCTGATGCCATGGTTGTGACCCTTATCCCACCCCCGAGTGCCAGCAGTTAATGAACGCTCAGCAAACAACTGGCTGTGCTGTTCACTGCAAACAACCTATTGCGCCACTTTCTTTTGTTCATGAACATGATGTCACTTTCACTAATGTCACACCATGTACGCCAAGTTTACACGTAACGCCCCCCCCCCACCTCTTTTGGCCTGTGGTGAGCTGAGATTTGATGCTGGCTCACAATCACAAAATGCTGCACACCCCTGGGCTACAGATTGCGCTGTGTGTTTAAATACCAGAACGATGTTCGAGATTATTTTTGGTCGCGTATTAAATCGCTTTGTGGGAGCGATTTTCGTGCTCTGCGGAGAAGCAGCCAAAGTGGCCCACGAAGGAAGGTCAGTTGACCGAGAGGGCACGGCAAAACTTTTGTCGAAAAGTTAGCGGAGCAATTGCCCATCCTCCTCCGTCCCGCCCCTCTGTTTCTACATCCGTGACATGAATTCACCGCGGACGGCGCAAGGACACGACGCGTTTGTCGGTTGGCGGTGTGCCTGCGCCCAGGTGGTGATTTGCCAGAACAACGTGCAGAGCCAGCACTACATGAACCGTGTGGTGACACACGAGCTCATCCACGCCTTCGACCACTGCCGCGCGCACGTCGATTGGTTCGGCTCAATGGAGCACATGGCCTGCTCCGAGGTGAGTCCCCAGCAGGGTCGTTTGCCGCTTAACGTTTTTACCCCAGATGCAGCGTTTTCAAAAATGTATTGTAGATTACAAAAATTCAAGAACTGGTTCCGTGACTTGCGACTGAACGCACGGTGACTGAATGGAGCGAACCGGCGGACGTTGTGCCAAACGACGCACGGTGCAACCCGAGGGCACACCGAAGAACCTGTACCGTGCAACTGCAAAAAACCGAAGCGGTATAGAATAAGGGGTGTTTCTGCTTCGTGTGTTTATTGCAGTCAAGTTTATTTAATCAGGTGAGAACTCACGGTAGCAGCATAATCTCAATGCAAGAGTGTCCTAGGTCATAACAAAATCATAAAGTACAGCAATAAAGCAACCTAGAAATCATAATGTACAACTTGTCAAATGAGCAATCGAAACGATGCTAAATAATAAATTCCCGTGGCGCAAGTTGGGTCGGGGCAGATACATTTTAGATCATGATGGTACAGATACAATACATTCTACAGCGGCATTAAAAGAGAAGGGGTGTCTATTGTACTTAAGGATTGTATTCAGCCACAGCTGTGGTTTGTTCTTACGAGCAAATGCTGCCACCTGGTGGCGTGCAATGGTAACACGTCATAAAGAGGCTACACTAACCGGGTGTGTGTATTATGGGTGTAACATTGATTTCATGGTTACGTGCTCCCCAGTCGCCACAAAAGGCTGCTGCTTTCACCACGATTCAAAAACAGTTATTAGTCTGACTGGGAGAGTGAGTCGATGAGAAAATTAATTGCCTTTTTCCCGTAATGGTTCTAGAAACTCATCCTAGCAATAATTATAATTTACAACATGGGTCGCCGAAATCCAAGTGTAGCACATTGCTACACTGCCCCACCCCCCACCCCCCCGACTCTCGTGCCACCATGTGGGAATCCCGCTTTCATGAACTTCCCATGCTAACATACAATTCGTCTGTCCCTGCTGCTGGTCGTCATACAAAAATGTGGTACGCGCAACGTTTTTTGTTTGTTTACAAATATAAAAAAAGGCTATCGTAATTTTATTTCTTTCAGATCCGAGCTGCGAACCTCAGTGGGGATTGCACCTTCCAAAACGAACTCCGGCGATTCAACTTTGGACTGAAAGGCCATCACCAGGTACTTTTTAAAATTTTAAATCACAGTTGCGAAGGCGCCAACCCAAAACACCAAGCGGTCAAAAACGTAACGGCATCTCTGAATCTCTAATAGATGAGTGAATACACAAGTACGTAAGTACGTACGTGTGGTCCTTGTGGCGTTTGGTACCAATGTATGGCTCTCCGCTTTTCAAATTTAAATCGCTCATTCCAACTGACAGGGTGGGAAGATTTCCCTTTGCCACAAACTGTAGTACAACATTTTGATTTAAAGCTTTCGGGACTGCAGGGATTCATATTCTTGGTTCTTTCGGTAAAGTCGCGTAGAAGGGAAACTATAAAATAATAAAAATATAAAACAATAAAATATTGTTTTAATAAAAATATAAAACAATAAAATATTGTTTTATATTTTTATATTATTGTTTCCCGTCTACGTGACTTTACCGAAAGAACCAAGAATATGTAGTACAAGTCCCGCTGAAAAACATTCGAGCTCTGCTTCAGACATGTTTCTGTGACCTCCATCCCTCCCTCCAACCAGCCAGACGCCAAAACTTTTCTTTGTATAATATAGTATTAAATATGATGAGTATAGCATAACACTGAAGCCACCTCGTCCAGATCTGGAGGTAAACCCTTCCACCTGCCAGCACTCAACAGCTTCTGAACTCCTGATTACAGCCAATGCACAATGTGGGCGACGTCACGCCAGCCAGCCAATTTCTTTTTCGAATATCGCACGACGCTCTTGCCTGAACTGTGCGACTGTAGACTGTGAAACATCGCACCTTGGGGTGACAGCCTTGCACTGAGAATGGCACGAATGCCAAATCGTACGAAGCGAGGATGATTAACTGTGCCCGCGCGTGCAGACGTGCGTGCGCAACAGAGCCGCCTTGTCCATCCTGGCGGTGCGGCCCACCACTATCGAGGAGGCCAAGGCGGCCGTGGATCGCGTGTTCGAGCCGTGCTTCAACGACTTGGAGCCCTTCGGCCGCATCCCTCTAAGCAAGAAGCACGCCAAGTACGCCTTCCTGCAGCATCAGTCGCGCGACCGCTACGAAGCCAACCTCTAGTGCACCCGACGGGATGTTACCCCGGCAAAATAATTACCGTCGCCTCTGGATCACGAAGGTGCGTCGGAAAGTTCAGACGCGCCCAAACTTGGGTGCAAGCAAACCTGAAATCTCACTCTCCCAAAGCTCGACAGCCCTGTTGTCTGCAGGCTATGATGGAGTCAGCTCTCAGGAATTTGGACTGGGAGGCGATTTGGCACTGCCCCAAGACTTGGGAGAGGAAATGTGTTTCCAGCTGCAAAATGGAGAGCACTTGTTTAAAACGCACAGCTTGAATGATTGCTCATAAAAATTACTGATTTATATATAAAATAAAAACTTGAGTATTTACTCTTGTAAATGTGATACTTGTGAAGCAGCACTTGTGGAAGTACGTTGTGTGAAATGCGAATAAAAAGTTTGATACAGTGCTGTGATGTTACAAGGAATCCATATGGAGTATGGAAAATACGCCTATAGAAACTTAAGTGTAAAATCAAAGCCACACCATGTACGACAATAAAAGCCAACAGAGAAAACCACTGGACTGACATTTATTACAAAAGTCTTTATCAAACCAACAAAATACCTTGTTGCAGAGTGGTATGTACAAATTAATTGAACCATATAAATTTAAACCACAAACATGTGGAAGTACAGGTTTGGTAACTACACCAGACAGCACATTCACTCATTTGAGCAATACACAGTATTGCAGATCAAATATATAATGTTAAACACACTCCAAGGCAATCCCCATGGAAGTTTCCACCAATGATAAGCCAGCTACCCATGATGACCATGCTTTCTCAGGTGACCTTTAAGTATGTTCGCCACTGCAACAAAACTTTGCGATTCAGGGGCATGATTCCCTGCATGTTTGTGTGAGCGTAAGAATGGATTTTAATGGAAATCTTTTAATCTTTACAATCCTAACAAAATACTGAATGGGTCAAGACCGAATGCAGTACTTGTTGGCAACACCCGATTGGCAGCAGGTTGACACAGTGGTAACACTTGTGCCCCAGTGAGACGCCATGTGGTTCGATTTCCAAGTTGACCACCTTACTGTGTGGAGTTTGTATGTCTCCCCTCCCCTCCCCCTGTTCTGCATTGGATGTCTGGTTTCAAATAGAACTGGCCAATGGAACTGGTATTGATCAAAAATCCCAGTGTGAAACAATTACCTGAAAATTACTCATTTGGTATTATAGTATTGCCCCCGACTGCAAAAGCTTGACAGGATCCTCCTAAAAACAAATCTTGAAACTCGGTGAAGCTTTCCTGGGTAAAAAAAGTTTTGCTAACAAATTGGCAATAAATAATTAATTATGCAATAACCTTATCTCACGAACATTATCACAATCCATATTTATTAGCCATATACACCAACTGTGGTACCAAATTCTGCTGTGGCCCATGAACTAAAAAGGCAGTAGGGAGTCTGCTCACTTGATCATTAATTACAGCAGCCACTGGCTGTATTTTAACACCACGTGATTTTCAGATCACATTTTTCCACTGCCATTAATGACAGTATGCAGGCAGGCAGTATCCTGTTGTAATGGAACAAGATGCAATGATAGAGGCGACAGTGCTATCACAAATAGCCTGTTTGGAAGCAAAACACTTTGTTCAGTTGAGAAAAACATCCTTTTGTAAGCAACCAGGTTTACAACTAGCCTCGAACATTGCATCAGCTTGCCAGTGAATAGTTAGGGCTGGTTTCAGGTTAGGCATCTTGGGTATAGATTAATTCTGCCATAAGGAGCCCTATGAGCAGTATGTGGAGTGCCGAGTTGCATGTGAATTGTATTTCATGTAACCCAAAAAACTAAACAGCATTGCACTGCGAGCCACGTAACCTAAGTTTGATTTCTAGTCAACTATTATCAGTGGTAATGCCAGAACTGATCCTGAGCATCCCCTTCACCAAACCATACAAACCAATGTGGTGAAGCATGGTCAAATAACCTCCATGACTGGTGTGGGAGGTCTTCATTAAGCAGTGGATTGACACACAGTTGTGTGTCAATCCCAAGTTGTGATACACGAGTTTAAAGTGTCGTTAATGATAAAGACCCAGAAGTGACTGCATGCACGTTGCCGTGGCACTGCAGCGACATCGTGGGGCCATCGAACAGTACGGCAGTCACTCCACAGTGACATCACGGCGGTGCATCTGATAGTCAATTCAATTATAATTTCCCATGAACAAACCCCCTAAACTCATGTTAAAGACCACTTGTGACACAACCTACATGTGCAGCCACAGAAATATTTAGTATTTTGGGTTACACCGTCAAACTCGTGCGGCAAGCTGCCGGGTTGCGGCAAGGTGGATCCGTGGGGTGGAGTTCCCGTGCACACCCTCACTCAAACTCATCCACTTCGCCCACATAGTGACACATGTCGTCGTAGCTGAGCTTGAGTAGTTGGTCCGACTGGCCCGTGAGCTGCACGGTCGCCTGGCAATTGTTTTTGTCCCTGTTCAAGATGAGCCCCACCTGGAGGATGTCGCACACATATATTTGGAGATCGTCAGAGCTAGCCGCCGTAGTGCTGTGAACACCCAAAATGTAAGAGAAAAACTACAGTAAGGGGATCAGTCTTCATCAGTATAAAATATCTCAGTCGCAGGGGGGTTAAATACACGTGGTGAGGTGAAAGGACGCTTCGTTTCTGGTTCTTTACAGTGTCACCTGTGGCTCACTGCTAGGGAAACTAATGAAAGTCAGTTGTGTAAGATCACCCAAGACTGCTGAGGCTATACACAAACCAATGCACATAATTGGGGTTGCAATAAATTGTAACCTTCATTGATGAGTACCAACCTGTCCTTTGTATTTCCCCAGTACCACCATGACATAATCCTTGTCTGTCTTGGGTATTATGGTCTCCAGCATGGACTGCTCGATTCCTTTAATAATAAATAAAAAATGCACAAGTAATGCATGTAATACTTTACAAAAATATGAAAAATTCCTTTTAAACAATGTCAAGGAATTTTTATTTTAATGATTTTAGAAGTGCCTTTGTTGAGGTGAGGAGAAAGCAGGTGATGGAATACCTTCTAATATCCGGCCCTCTTCTGTCCTGCAAACGCATATCTCTGGCGTGACCACATCATCCACCGTCATCTGCCAGGAAAGAGGTAAACACAGTTTACCAAGAAGCAAAAGTTGCTCACCAGAGTTAATCATATTCCGATTCTCCCATCCCAGCATGGTCTAGCCTTTCCATATTTCCAGTCGTCTTTGGACAAACATCCCAATGTAGGACTACAGAGCTTGGGCAAGATCTGTCTTAATATGAATGCACTCTGCCCACCGCGTGCTTCACATGCAAACGCACAAAACCTCTTAATTTGACTTGCTGCTCTCTACGTCACCGATATTTCGGTTTCTGGAGCAACTAAAAGCACGTGAAGCAGATGAATATGCCGGTCCAAAATTAAATATCCATACATTTTAGTTTGTTGTGCCACCATTGGACAAGCAGAATATATCGCACCAGCGCTGTAACCTTGTGGCACACCTTTTTGTTGTAGTATTTTCCTCCCTTGTAAAACTTGTCCACAAAACGGACCCGCAGGTCCCTGCGCAGCCAACGCGGCTTCGAGGAAGTACTCGCAGCCACCACCTGTTTGCTACTTTTCCAAGAGCAGAGAATGGGTGGAAGTAAAATGAAAGCACGGCCAAATAAAACACATTGTACAACCAAATTGAAGTTGATGCTATGCAGTCGAGGGCCAAAGTTGTTACCGGCCGTCTTTATCTTCGTGTTTCCTCTTTTTGCCGTGTCTGTCGTCGTCCCTGTGCCGGTCGTCGTCTCTCGGTCTGCCGGCTTTGCTCCCGTCATGGGAGTTCTTCTTACCCTCATCCCTCTTGCCGCTGGAGCAACTCTCCCGGTGCTCATCCTCCCTTTCCCTCTCTTTCTTCTCCTGCTTCTCTTTCTCTTTGTGCGCCTTGCTTAAGCGACCTGTGGGCGATTCAGATGTAAAACTGTTACAGGAGAGGATGCAATCGGAGCGCCACTCCCAAGCAGTGTGATGCGGAAACTGTTAATCACGTACTGAGGTCTTTGCTGTACTTCTCGTACTCCTCCTTGTTCACCAGACGCGTCGCGTACTGGCTGATGGTGATCACGTTTCCTCCGATTGCCAGACGCAAAACCAAGCGTGCGTTGTCTGGGTCCAAGCCATCCACCTGGCGAGGCAAAGTTAGCGGTACATTCCACAACCATTCCAATGTTTAGAAAATTGCACAGAAGACAAGGCGAGTTTATGGGTTCTAATTCGGGTTAATTTATTTTTGCTAGTGTTTTTCATAATCGTATGCAAACAATGAAAAAAGTTAATAATTTTACCACACATATCAAAGTGTCTTATATGAAAAATACAAGTGCAACTTCCCATTCGAACTTACCACACGGTGAGTGCCTTATGATGGCTGCCACTGACCAATTACATTAGAATGCGCTGTGCGGTTAGAATGTGCAAACCAATTTCCTTAAACGTCAACGGATTCCATGACTTTCAGAAATAACCCAATCCATAACTGATTATCAAAACTCTACTCTTTAATTAATCAAGTGTAGCTGCTGTACCTTCGCATACAGGTCCTTGTGTGGCCCTTTCTCCACAACCACAAACGCGCCGGCCGCGTAGCCCCTGGGCTGCTCCTCTGGGCGCTTCTCGCCCGGCTTGAGTGGCCGCTGAGGCTTTATGTCCTTGAGGGCATCAGCCGCCGAGCGGTCTGCTCCCAAACCCAGGCCCTTTGGCCTCACCTCGGCTTCAATAGGCTTCACGTCTCTGTGTGCAAGAGGTACACGGGCGTGCAGAGTGGTTAAAGAGGTGTGTGCACACCAGACGTGTAATGATTTACACCACTACCAGCCCTTGCCGATTCGATGAATTTTAACCATTTTGGATTGTCATTTAATTTTCATCCTTTGCCGTTGTCTGTTCCATTTTCCTCATGATACATAATTATATGAATTACATATATTTTACATAAGTTGTGATATATTCGGACACGTATTTTTCTATTTTATCATGAGTATAACATTTTAACTGATGAATCGATCTATTCCCAGTCAACATGACAATGTGCAGAGTTTGGTAGTTTTCTGAAGCTGTAAGACTGCTGCTGCAAGACTTACTGTTTAAAAGTTCTGCCAATGCCTTCCCCTTTCTTCCAACCCATTCCTCTTAGCATTGCCAAGCCATACGCCTCGATGGGGACTGCATCGTAGTCTGCCTCCGTTGCCTAAGAGAAGGAATGCAGAGCTCATTAAAACGCAAGCACTCAAAGGATGACAGAGCACGGAAAAAACATTTGAAGATCATACTGACTTCAAGATCCTCCGTGGACTCTCCACTGCCTACCTCTCCCCTCATCTCTACGTCCCTCAAAAATGTATTCTAACATATACCTAACACTCATTTTTAACCACCACTCCAGCCATCTCTGTGAAGCACTCACCGACTCGGGTCTCAGACTGACGTCCACTTTGTCCCCATCCTCGTATCCCTCAGGAACCTTGTTCTGCATGAGCAGTGGGATCGCGAGGTTTTCATCAACCTTCTCACCCCCATTCTGCAGTTCTTGGAACCTCCGTGACTCTGCACAGCACACCGATCCGTGCAAATAAAACATTACAAACAATGCAAAGTTATTATTTTTACCAGATAAGGCTCAATGGGCTATACAGCTCTTTTATAGAAGCGACCTGGCCACAAACGATGACGTGGCTTATCACGTAGAAATGTATAGCAGCCAAATATTCTTAAGTGCTTTTCTCGGCACTAAAATTACTTTATATTAAGTCCAAACTGGAAAGTCCCACTGTCACTAATTTGCCTTTGACAATGTGATCGTATATTATTTAGTTATCCAGGGAAGTGTCATTGAGTCTCAAGACTCTTGTTAAAGACGGTCCTGCACTGGAAGATATGGCCAAATACATTCATGAAATTATACTTCAATACTATACCCAGTCCACCTCAGCCTATTTGTGGGCTTGATTAATCTACAATCCACCAACCCATTCGTCAAAAGCTCTCGATTCCAACCATTAACTGCCATACCTGGCTGATGGCTCCCAACACTCAAGTTGCCTTGTCAAATTCCCAAGAGCATTGCTCTTGCAGCCTGCCCACCACAAGTTAAACACAATGTCTCCCTAACCTTCCAGCAGCTCTTGGATGGCCTTGGATTCCACATCGTCCTTCTTTTGCCCTTGATTCTCTTGCCCCTCTGTGGTATTGTGCTTCTCCAGTGCAAGGCCCACATAGCGGTTCTTTTGGATCAGTGGTATCACCAGCTCCCCTACCTTCTCCTTGGATTTGACGCTGCAAACATTGGAAACAAAAAAAATGCACTCTCAATTTGTATCGACATGGTGCCTTGACTATAACCACATCTCAAGATACTGACGAGTTGTGGAATACACACCCCTGTAATGGCTTGCCATGTAAGCGCTCTATTGTAATTATCATTGAGGTAGTGGTTTCCATAATTCAGTCCTCCCGACCTATCAGGGACCACCTTTAAACTTTTACCAAACCAATCCACTCAAAATATACACGTGAAGTAGTTACACAATACATCCACCGGATTGGTAAATATGTAACATCCTTGATATTAATTTAAATCGGCACTCTAAGGTGGGACACAATATAGTGGTTGATTCAGCACACCGTGTAGCCGTTGCTGTGCGAAGTGTTTAGTCATCAAGTCCATAATACAGGTTTTTCTGCGTTAGATCGCGTAAATATAAATGTATTGTTAAACCCGTCATCACCCGACGCAGCTAATTAGTAAGGTTTGTCAAGTAAACAGAACATGCCAAATCATTACTAGTACAGCACCGGTGTGTTGAAGAGCAAATCCACAACATTTACAATTTGATTACGACGTTTCGCCAGTAATTACAACCAGCTTCATCAGGCGACAGCCAGTCATCAAGTGCGCAGGAGTTGGTGTCTTAGCCCATTGCCGAAAAATTGATTATTGCATCGCAGTCGACGGCTTACAAACTTCACTCGGCAGTGGATACACCAGGCGCCGTTACAATTATTAATCAGGGAAACAGTTAAAAAACAAACTCACTCAGTATGAATGAAACTCAATCAAGTTGATTAATAGAATTGCAAGGCATCCATCCCACTGCCAACCCCCCGCGCTTGCCTGCTTAATTCCCCCGGTAACAGTGCGCATGGCGGGTAAACAAAACCAGGCAAAACGGGGGGGCCCGTGGCGAGACCTCTAATTTTAGGCCGCAACGCTCGTCCACTTCGCGAACCTCACGACCTCCTTCCCCTCCACGCCCGTGACGAAGTCCGTCTCCTCGGCGCTGGGCTTCTCATCGTGGAGAACGGACGCCTCCTTGACCCTGGAGCGGTCGATCTTCTTGCTGAAGCCGAACGACACGGCCACCTTCGCCCCGGCGTCGCCTTCGCTCGGCTCCATGTTCCCAGCGGCGCGCGACCTCGGGTGATGACGTGCGAACGTTTAGCGGTGACGTCGTGAGCTGTGACAGCCAATCAGAAGGCAATCTGCGTAAATGTGATGCAACTGGCGGGAAATTCAAATGTGAGTTTGCAATTTTTTAATGTAACGTTGCGAATTGTCTTCTGATTTATTGGTGCCACATATTCTCCTCAACGACGCTCATTGTTAAGTTGACGTTATTTATTATATATGTTTGCGTCTAACCCAGGACCCACATCTAACAGAGAGGGCTATTGCCCATACACATCTGATACAGTAGTTCATGAGCATTAGTTCAAGCACGCTTGACTGCTGATGAGACACTGCATTTCAAATCCGACCGATAGTTTGCTTGGTTTGAACTATTGCTGTTGAAATGATGCACTCTCACAAGGCCGTGCGGCCGATGGGATGTGTTAAAAACATTGGTTTTATTTATGGAATTGAGGTGTTATTGTCTGCTAATTTATATCTGGAATGTAAGATGATTTTAACAATGTAATGTCACGCCAAAGGGAGGCAGCTCACTATAGCGATGGAGCGATGACATTTTTCGGAGCTACTTGGATTATTCCACCATGAGACCGTGAAATTATGACGGCTTGGGGAAGCCTTCATCCAGCAGTGAATAGATCATGATCATCATGATGACTGATTAATGAATATACTCTAATCATCCTTAAATCACGAATGACACATTGTAGTAATGATTATTGGCATATGATTGATACATTTTGGTGATCCAAATAACTGCTACATTACTGTGTTACGATAAGCAATGATTACAACATTAATGGAAATAAATATGATCGATATAGAAACGTACACGTCATAAATGCTGATTGTGATTATGGCACTAGATGATGGTCGATAAATTACGACTGACTGATTTTTATGATGACTGATCAATTATAATGCTGCTAATGCCACTACTATATGAATGCTAAACACTTACGAATGCTTAACGCGTAGGCTTTCGCGGCCAATACGATGCATCATGGTGTTTTTTTTTGGGTCAGATAGCCTTAGGAAAATATGTGTCGTAAACCCTCCTCCACCCGACACAGCCAATGAATAAAGGTGTCACTTGAATAAACGTGGCAATGTTCAGTAACTGTGTTACTGATTCAGCACCACCGACAATGTTGGAGAGCGAGCCACAACATCTAACAAATTGGGTCGTCGTTCGACGTTTCGCTGCTCATTGCAACCAGCAACATCATCAGGCAGTTGCCACATTTTTTTGTTTTTTACAACAGCCTGATCGTGCTGGTTCACGAATCACCAGCCGATTGAACAAGATGAAAGATATTAAACAACGACGATCACCGTTGTCCGACTTCTTCTGCTCTGTCGGTGACAATGGGCGAGACAACATCGCGCACATCCGCCAGGTGGCCTCCTAAAGCCCTTTTTGCACAGCCAAATTCCATCGTCAGCAACTGTGGCTCAGCGTTTTGGGCCCTTCAGGGGGCGCCAGTGACACGCACGTGGGGGTCTTGCTGGCGGGACGGCACTGGGAGACGGGACAAGGAGGGGGTGGTGAGAGATTCAGGAGGGAGGAACAAGAAACTGAGAAGAGGAGGAGGGTCGAAGCCATTGCGTCTCGGCGTGCGGGCGGATACGGCATTGGCACTGCGGGTCAGAGTGGTTGGGTCACCACCACCACGCCATATAGCTTAGCCACTGCGTAAGTACGTGTGTACGTACACGTTCGAGTACGCAGTCATTGCGAATCGCACATTATTGATACGTGCATACAGTGTACGGAGAGAAGACCGCAACTTTGGAACCGGGAGCCCTGCTACAAAGTTTATTTGTGTTTGATTCAGGCGCCGAGTTTTGAGCAGCGTGTGCGCTACAACTTCAGTCATGCAAACCAAACTACAGTCTTGTCAACAGGCAGATGGACGTATGGAGCTTCATATTCGTGATGTTTTGTAATCATCGAGAACACAAGTCTCTGTTTTAAAGGAAGCTCTCGAAAACGTAAACAATCGCCTCGATTCGGTGAAGACGAGTGAAGCTGGCCGCAGTCAAGAAGAGTCCCTTCAGTCGTTCATTGAACAACCACGTTTCTCCATCGCTCCCTTTCTCGGACTATACTGCCGGATTATTTGTGCTGGATACCACGAGGAGGGCGCCACCCTTGCCTGATGAATTGAGGAACAGCTGGCTGGATTTGGAGGTGGGGACGATGGGAGCCAGAGACCCCCTTGGACATCATCACCAAGCCCGCATCGGGACCTCCTCGTCTCGATGAGAACCCAGCCGCGAGTCCCCTCTGCGTAAACCGAGTCGCGAGGAACTCTCCAGCCGCCTCCTATCGGACGTTGTGTTCCCGCAAAGCCCTGGTCCCACAAAGCCCTGGTCCCGCAAAGCCCTGGTCCCACTGCTTGGCAACGCAGCTGGGGGTTAGTGTCAGGGTGACATTGGGACCTGGTGAGGCCGGATTTGAGGGAAGACCTCCAGTGCAAGCGACGAGAGTCCACCACAGTCATCTGCAGGTGAGCGAGGAGGCACCATTATTGTTTTTTTTTATGCACTCACCTTTCTCCTTGACTTTTGTCCACGAATGATGTTGAGATCAATGCGGGGGGGCGGGGGTATTGAAATGGTGAGGAATATTGATGTGGATGAGGGATATTGATGGGTGAGGGATATTGATGTGAGGGATATTGATAGGTGAGGCATATTGATGTTGAGATCAGGGATATTGATGGATGAGGAATATTGATGTGGGTGAGGGGTTTTGATGGGTGAGGGATATTGAGGTGGGTGAGGGATATTGACGTGGGTGAGGGCTATTGATGTGGATGAGGGATATTGACGGATGAGGGATATAGAGGTGGGTGAGGGATATTGATGGATGAGGGATATTGATGTGGGTGAGGGATATTGATGGGTGAGGGATATTAAAGTGGGTGAGGGATATTGATGGATGAGGGATATTGATGGATGAGGGATATTAAAGTGGGTGAGGGATATTGATGGATGAGGGATATTGAGGTGGGTGAGGGCTATTGATGGGTGAGAGAGATTGATGTGGATGAGGGATATTGATGGATGAGGGATATTGATGGGTGAGGGATATTGATGTGGGTGAAGGATATTGATGGATGAGGGATATTGATGGATGAGGGATATTGATGTGGGTGAGGGATATTGATGGATGAGGGATATTGATGGGTGAGGGATATTGAGGTGGGTGAGGGATATTGAGGTGGGTGAGGGAAATTGAGGTGGGTGAGGGATATTGAGGTGGATGAGGGATATTGATGTGGGTGAGGGATATTGATGGGTGAGGGATATTGAGGTGGGAGAGGGATATTGAGGTGGGTGAGGGATATTGAGGTGGGTGAGGGATATTGATGGGTGAGGGATATTGATGTCACGATTGGGAGGTGGGGGGAAGCGTACGTCGTGTGCCACCGTGTCTCCCATCAATAATTGAACAGCCTCTATAAAGACTCATGCCTACTCGACATGGGGTCTCCATGGCTGCTTGTCCGCCTCAACTTCAACACCATTCTCACTCGCCTGCTGAGACGAGTGTTGTGTTTTAAGGGTGACCCGTGAGGGTGCTTGATATTAAAATTTGTTAGCTGCTCAAAGTACCACGTCATGTTTTGGATGATTCTGTTTGGTTTATATATGCGTGGTTTTACCAGTCCGATCACTTATGTGACCTTTCTGTACCTGAAGGTCTCCCTGTGGTTGGGTTTATGCTTGGCAGTGTTGTAAATACCTCGTCGTGATTTTCAGTGTATGTGGAGAAGTAAGTTATAAAAAATGCACAGGTCTGTTTCATCACCAAAGTCCTTAAGTCCATCAGCCTATGAGACTTCTAGCAACGTCTGTTTAAGCCTGCAAATGCTGCACCGGTTTCGCTTTTACGAGTCTCATCAGCAGCGTGTGGCCACGTTATAAATTGGATTTACGAGGCCCATAGACCCGATGTATGTAAATGATGTGTAAATGAAATGTGTCAAAACAGACCCATCTGACGTGTTATTAAAGCGCTGTATTCGCAATCTACCAAGACAGCTCACTATAAATGTTCTACAATTTTATTGCGTAGTACTTTGCTTCAGGGGTACACGTATCATTGGAACATGTGCACGCGTTTTCTGTGATCTACATTAATGAGTTTCAGGTTGATGGCCATCCCCAGTGATTGTGGATTGGTGGTGGCACAACACACAGACACACCGTGCCATCATCAACACTGACTTAAGACTGCCACCCCCGTTAACACCGCCACAAAACACAGTAGGCGAACATTTCAAGCTGTTGCCCTCCGCGAAAGAGGAAGCATTAGATTATTAGTATGCTACATTGTCGACAATTTCCCAAAATGGCCAATATAACAACGCTTATGTTGTTAATGACGCTGATTGGGGGTGAGTTGCATTTGTGCTTTGCACGCCTACACCGAAGCAGTTTTCTTTGACAACACAAACGTTCGACATTATTTTGTTTGTTCTCCCATCGTCGTTTGAAATGTTGAAAACAAAACATGAACTTGTGAGTAAGTAGAGGACGTCATTAGACCACAGCGTGCGTTGGGCTTTTCCCCACCGCAAAGTGGGCTGCTGATGCATTGTGGCCCTTTGCCCACCTTCTGGTCTAACAAACGGCACTTATGCATTGGTCAAAAATACCCCATAAATAACGCTGTCACATTGCCAATATTCCATTTGTTTACTTGTTCCAACAACAACTCGCAGTGGCCACCAACGCTGTTCCCGTGATCACTCTTATTGCCTTATTGCCACAGTGTTACTGTATTGGTGGAAGATTGCCGGCGTTGATTCGTAATGCACGCACACCGAGTGGGTTTGATGATTATGATAGCTCAAAGGTGGCCTCGTAATTTGTGTCCAAAATAGGCAGCGCATGGATCACTCAGCTGATGACAAACAGGGTGGTCTTGTTGGTTGATTGGTTAATCGTTCACCCAGCTAATTATTTTATCAATCGCAGTGACTCGCCACTTAAAACGCGTCTGCCGGTAAGTCGAGCGAGAGGTGTGTGTTTGTCACAAGTGTTTTGTGAGCAGTTAAAAATCAACTCAAGTGTAAGTTGGGGGCCGTCCATAAATGACGTCACGCGATTTTGGCCGATTTTTGACCCCCCGCATCCTCGTCACACGGCGTCTCAAAAAGTCAGACCCCCCTCAAATATGACGTCACAAAGCTCTGCCCCCCCCGCAACCATATTTCCATTTTGAAAAATAATTTTTGCTTCAAATCACTTTAAACTATTGTCATTGGAGTGAGTATTTAATGTGGCGCTGCACTCTGATGTTGTAAGAGAAAACACGTATTTAAAAGGAGGCATTGGAAAGCTGAAATTTAGCATAAAATTCACTTGAAAATATTCAACGTCTAACTAAAACTGCAGATGTTCAGAATATTATATTGAAATTCTCTTATAATTATACAATATTAAAAGTAATTATAACTATAAAAAAATATACTTGAAACTTTGTAGTAGAACGAAGCAAAATGGAGAGTACAATTATAATAATCACATATTCATTCCACAGAATGAAAAGCCCTGGTAGAATCATTAAAATCAAAATGTTTAATAACAATCATTCAAAAAAATTACAAAATTTATGATTCTCCATTCTCCCATGAAGAAGCAAAATGCTCCTTCATGGAATAAATAAAAGGTGACCTTAGTAAATTTAAATAATCAAATAGTTAATAATGAAAATTAATAAAATATTTGTGTTGTTATAACAATTCTATTGTTTATATTAATTTTAAGTTGCGCATTTTGATGTGACGTCACATTTCTCAAACTCCCCCCCTCCCCCCCTCGTCACGCATCGTCACAAATGTCTGACCCCCCTCCCCCCCTAGGTGTGTGACGTCATTTATGGACGGCCCCTTGTAATTACACTCCAAAAACAATGGGAGATAATTGCATAACTTGTAAGCAGTGACATCAGCATCTTGATACGTTTTAGAAGCATTGCGCCATTCATTTATTTATGTGCATTGTTAAATATGGTGTGGGCACTTTAGAGTTTTCAGTAACACGATGTATGTTGAACTTATTTCGCATCGTACGAAGCCAACCGTGCTAACCGGGTGCGGGGAAGGACAAGAAACGAAACATAAAAAAGCAGTTCTAAAGAAACAATAGCGTTCGCCGCGTTGCACACAAAGGAAGACATGTAAATCGCAAGATAACGTGAATGAAGAGGATATGTTTATTGAGAAGCTAGGGGGAGGGAGGTGAGAGAAAGGTGGGATGGTTGGAAAGAGGGCTTTGGATGTGTAAATGAAGACCGTGGAATGGATTAAATCTCATTCACAGGCAGTGGAGGAGAGGAAATTCTCCAGACTTAACTTTTCACATGAGAGTCCCCATCTCCACTGCTGAATGAAGGCCTGTGTATTCCATGTTTGTGATGGGTGTTGCTTGACCATGCATTCATTACTTCATCACGCTGATCAGTGTGTGTTGTAGAAGGGGGTGGGGAGCCCAAAACTGGTTCTGATATCACTTGCTATCGATGTGGTCAGATATACAACTCCGGTCGGCAGGCTCAAATATATATTATAAATAATGTTTTACTAATACTGCTGGAGCTTTGTTTTGTTTCAATGCATTTTTATGTTGAAGTCATGCTGACATCATCGTTGGATTAATTACTGCCGTGATGATGACCCACCAGCGAGAATGCAGGGGATAAGCCGTCCACACCCAATTCGAGGATAGGGCCGTTGGGATTTAATCACAAAACCCCTGGTTTTCTCAGCTGTGCGGGGAAACCAGTGCAAAGGATTTGCCCTTTGAATCGCGAGCACTCGCACTGAGTGTTGAAACCAGCATACTTGTGTAGACATGAGTATGAGCACAATGATAAGGTTCTGACAGCAAGTAGTAGTTATGAGAATCCGTACTAGGCTAGTAATTTCTGGAACTGCATATGGTGTGTCCCCCACCCCGACAAAAAGTTGGGGATAGCTGCTCCCTCCCTGTATGTTGGGATACAATACAAATGGGATTTACATACCATCTAAATTGGGTCACACCTCAGGATGTTGAGCTGAGTGGGAGCACACATTGTAGTAGGAGAAGTCAAAGGTGGAGGAAAGGAAGGTCTTGAGCCTGAACTCTTGAACTGGTGGCAAACACAGGCTATGTGCAGAACATGCACAAGAATAGGCACTTTCTTCTAGACATGCAAAGCATGCTGGGACCATGTTTTCTACCTGTTACTATCGAATACACCTTTATTTGCGTATTACTATGATTGAAAAGAGGCTGACTGGGAGTTTCGCCATAAATTATTGGTTGTGGTATCAGTGTACGCATATGGGAGTAGAGCGAGATAAGAGGGGAGACGGAGTTTACAGCGGGACCACGTAAGATATGTGTGGGAGGGCAGCACATGTACAGCCCTTTTTGCCAGTCCACTGCTGGATGGGGCCCTCTCCATTCCATGCAGACCGTGAGGGTTATTTGACCACACTTTATGTTGATTATGAGTGCAGATTTGTGAAGACGGAGCATAACACGTTACGACGTTGGATTTTGCACACACCATCTTCTGCTGGCCGCGAGCAACCTCCAACACCCGTCTTGTGTTCGTCGGTGACTCATCCGCCCCGTGTTGTCCACCGTGCGCAGGCCAACGTGGGCCCGGCCACCCCATGAGAATGTCCAAGGCGCTGAGGAAGAGGAATCACTGGAGCGGGCGGCTGCGCGAGGCTGTGCTGAGCATCACTGCCACTCCGAGTGGCGCGAGGCTTGTGCCGGCCCTATCCCTGCTCGGCGGTGCCGAGGTGGCACAGTTCCCGTACCTGGCCACAGCGGTGGACGAGCAGCAGGTGAGGCTGCCTGCCGAGGGGGCCCTCGAGCGTACCGCTCGTGGGTGCGCGGACAGTGTTGTACTTTGTTTTGTTTGGATTTGTAACAATTTGCTCCACGTGTTGGAAACTACAGGAACTGAATGTTTCACATGCCTGGGGAAACTTTTTCAGGATCTGAGTTTAGTTGTTTACGAAACTCAATTAACTTCTCGAAGAAGCCCCCAAGCACGTGAAGGAAAATGTTAAGCAACACGCGACACGGCCTGAAAACACACCATAGGGCTTTACAGCACAAGCTCAAACACATACAAGTCGTGTGTTATCATAAAAAAAAATCCAGGAAAGTCACACTTACTGACTTTCCATTGATACATTGGAGAACTCAACAAATTGGAAACTAAACTTCCCTGATTGTATTTAAATACGTTGAGTAACTTGCTGATTTTCCAAAATATAATTGTTTCTCTTTCTTGACCAATGCTGGCAGTTGGAGCTGTGATGGTTGGTTTGTTTCAATAAAGGTGTCAATTGTAAGTAATAATAATTTTCAGCAGATTGTTAATCTACTACTGAAAAACAAGAAACAATCAAACGAGGCAGTAAAAATAAGATACTTGAATAGTTTAATGACCCTAAATCTTGACAGTCCGAATCTTTGTGGGGTGACGAATTGTGACAGGCCTGTTCATCGAATGCCTAATACATGAGCACTGTTATGACACTCATTTGACCAGAGACTTGTTCATATTTGGCGGCTAAAGTTCCTGCTTTGCGTTCACCTTAGGTGCGAGTTCTGGCCGGAAAGCTGCAGGCCGGTGACCTGCTGCTGGAGGTGAATGGAGCACCCGTCGCTGGGCTCACGTCGCGCGACGTCACCGCTCTCATCGCCGCCAGCCCCAGTCCCGTGCAGCTCAAGCTGCTCAAACCCGGTAAAAACTCTCACTTATAACTTACAGCCCTTTATCAATCTACTGCTGGATCAAGGGCTCTTCATGGTGTGTTTTGCTCACGGAGGTTGGTTGACCGCACTTCACGCTGGTCAGTGCTGGTTGCCGGATAAAGAGAGGGAAGTCCATAACCAGTTTGCAATATCACTCGCCATTGATGTTGGCCATTGCTGATAATCCAAATCAGGTCGCTGGGGTCATCGTGCAATGCACTACAAGCCTGGCACGTGACACAGATAGTCACCACGTGTCCTTGTGTTATTATTGAAGCAGCAGCTTGTTTGTTAAAGAACACGACAAGAACACAACTGGAATTCATGAGAACATCGCTGAAAATCAGAGACGTGAGGGCAGTGCAGTTATGAAACAAAACAGAGTGGAACAATGTAAGCAGAGATGAGACAGTTGAGAATGATGAGTAGTGCCATGCCTGGTTGACTTGGATGGTGGTGACTTGTATAATCTGTTAAGAATGTTATGATTCATCAATTATATCTGATGCTTTGGATAAAATTGTGGAAAAATATATATAAAAAAATCATAATTGATTATTACTTACAAGATACATGACTGTAACTGCGTTAAAGAATCAATTGTTATTTCTATGTTTCTTGGAAAACGTATAGCCACTACAGAGTCTACATGCATCACAATGGCTTTAAATAATGTATTCATAGCAAATCATAGCAATTCATAGAATCAGTGGAGTGGGTTAATCATTATGTCACTGGTAATAGGTGCCATAGGATTTCAGATCATTGTTTGCACTTGCCTGTTATCAGCAGCGTCGGCAGTGCAGAGCCAGCTGTTGGTGGTAGAGTGAGCATACACTACGCTGAATTTCCTCACTGCCCCATTCATATCGAACACTCGGGGCTGAGTCTTTCTTCAACAACGACAACCACAACGTTTAAAGCCACGCATGCTCGCCCGCTCGACCGAACGACTTTGTGCGGGTGACTAATAAGTGGACACACACAGACTCGCGTGACCTGCCCACGAAAATCCAATTAATGCGAGCGTCGCCACTCGCTGCATTAATGAGTGCTGCCCGCCAGCGTGACGCGGCTCTGCGAGTTGCGACTTGATCGCACGTGCGGGAGGTGACGCCACGTCTTTGTATAAAATGCGGTGTGGCCGTCACACATGTGTTTGCCTCCCCCTTCCCTGCGTTGGGAGTCGGCGGGATGTATTGGACATCCTACTGAACATCTGTGACCTACTGAACATCTGTGGGAAAAGAGCTTCATAGCTCATCGGATTCCTCCAATATAAATAAATATCGTGATTCTGTGTTTGGGTCGGGTGTTGTTGTTGTCGCTGGGCGGCTATGTCGTTAGAAAAGTTTGCTGCTGCGAGCCGTTAGTTGTGGCCACTTATTAATTGTTCAGCTGGCAATTATGTTCCGGCCGATGTGGAGTCGTAGACGTAAGAGAGGTAAGTTTTTGTCATTTAATGGACACTTCAAGATGCTTTTTTGTCAAATTATTGTATTAATGTATTTATTCGCTACCTAACGCGAAGACGTTTTTTCTTAAACATTTTGGAGTAGCATGTAACTCACCATTATCGTCTCGCTAACTCTTAATGTTGTTGCCGAGGCATCTAACGATTCCAACCTCTGATTTAGTTGTCAAATCACATGGATAACCTATACAATAACATGAGGATAATACTTTTTTAATTAATTTCCATTGTCAATATTTTTTTATTCCTAAGCATAATGTTGTTGCCCAGTCATGTGGGTATTCTCCACTCCTGAGATTCGTTGAGATGTTACAACTTTTGGATCACTATTGGAGGTGACAATTCCAATCAATAATAATTAAATGTTGTCATTTGTAATGCTGTGTCTTTCTAATTCGTCTTGGTTTTTTGGTCACATTGACACTCTCTAATTCGTTCCATTCGCCTAAAATTACTCTTAATTTGCAAATGACAATTAGTCATTAATCAGTTTTTCATGCACAGATAGATAGATGCCTGTGCATCAAGAGTTTACAAATCAATGTTAATCGATGAATCATTTCACGTCCATTATTGCTCAGTGATTTTCCAGTTGTAAGCATCTGACATGTTTCTACTTTTTGAACCTGGGCGTGACATCCCAGAGGTGTTTACGTTTAGCCTGGCGCTCTTAGGGCCACAGCTGCAGACACACAAGCTCAGGATATACCGGCACTACCAGTTCAGCTCTTTGGCTGTAATTTTGAGCTAAATTTCCGCGCACCAAGATATCCGTTATTGTCATCCCGTAGGCTCTTATCTGCACAATTCGGAGTGGTGGGGGGGGGGGGTTAGCACCGAGCTGAGAGCTGATTACGTTCATTACGATGTCTACTGGACATATGTGAAAAAGAGCTTCATGGTTAATCGGATTCTTCCAGTCTAAATACAGATTTTGATTTTAATACGTTGGTCACTAACACATTTAGTTGTTTATTTTATTTTACAATCCTGTGGCAAAATCACCATAAATGCACTCGATTTTGTCAAATCTCAGAAGCAAAGCGGCGTTAAGCCTGGCTAGTACTTGGATGGGTGACCATTATAGCTTGCCAAATGTTGGAGGCATGGGGGCCCGAGGTGTGGCCACGAGATGGAAGTGTTGAGTGTTACCTCGGTAGGATTTATCCAGTTGCTTCAGTTTTCTTCCACAAGTCAAAACACTCATTAATGGAATTGGCCAAATGTCCCAATCCAGGACCCTCCTGTAACTGTGTCTTCAGACTCTTTGAAGCTTTCCTGGGCACACCATTAGCATTGTTATTTTGGGTTGGAGTGGTTGCCCAGTGGTTATTGTACTGCGATATGAACCCAGTGACCTGAGTTTGATTTCCAGCCATGGTTAACATTGCTGGTGAGTTTTGCCTCAACCGGTCCTGGGACCCCCCTTACCATTCCACACTGACTATGTAGTGAAGTATGGTCAAACAACCCACATGACCAACAGAGTTTGGGGGCGGTTGACTGGGTGGTTGTGACGGTAAGCCCAGGTCGCTGGAGCGGAAACCACGTGAAGGGGAGTTGAGAAAGAGAGAAATGTAACCTGACAGAGAGGGTGGGAGAACGCCTCCATCAAGATCTGCACCAGGTAGTAAACTGGCTCGTGAATTCAGCTTCGACTGCTGCATGGCAGAGCTATGGTCCAGTGTCTCCGCAAAACACACAGCTAAAATTAGGGCAGGTTAGGTTGTTCCATGCGAAATCAACACAACGAGAAAACGCCTCTTACACACAAGAGGTCGCTTGATGTGACCTTGATATTTAACAAACTCAAACAAGCCATCCAAAATTTTGACAGCTCTTTCCAATAGCTTTGAAATGATCCCTCTTGTAGCAAAATCAGCCGGTTTTGCACGCGGAACATGTTCCAGGGAAAAAGTAATTTACTAGACTTGTTCTGATAAAATTGTCCTGGTGTCAGTTGAGCAACTTCCCGATCTCCCACACGGTATTTCTTTCTCTTAGCTTCTACCAATGGCGTCATGTGCTGTAAATGTATGCACTGTTTTTACAGCGTGGTGTCATGATTATTACTGTCTATAATTGAATGGCATACTGTCAGGGGTGTCTTAATTTTGAATGAAGATGTATTGAGTCCATGCTAAATGTATTAAGGAATATATTCAGGAGGAATGCATTCTTAACCTCATAGCGAATAGGATACGTTTTTGGGACCAATGTATTTTTATTCATAGGGCAACATTGCAAGTTTAATAATATCATCCTTTATTTACCTAGGATAGCCTCGCTCACTCTGCAGACTTTTTCAGGAGTGTATTATATTATATTTGTTCAATTCAATGTTGATTTATGTTTGACCTGTGGAAAAATAAGTTCACCAGGATAAAACCCAACCACATGACGTGGTCACAACCAAGTTCCACAAAGGTAGATTTAAGAATCCTTCTCTCTACTGCCATTTCCTGGCAATCTTGCAGCCAGGGAAAGTCAGACAACTTCCATTTATATGGTCGAACCCTCTTTATTACATCGTAGTGATTAGAGGCCCAATCTTGGTGCTAGTCTACGGATGTCTGTGTGAGTCTGCGGGTCTCTATGCAAGCCTATGAATATCTGTGAGTCTTGTGGTCTCTGTGCGAGTCTATGGATGTCTGTGTGAGTCTGCTGGACTCTGTGCGAGTTTATGGATGTCTGTGTGAGTCTGCGAGTCTCTGTGCGAGTCTACGAATGTCTGTGTGAGTCGGCGGGTCTCTGTGCGAGTCTATGGATGTCTGTATGAGTCTGCGAGTCTCTGTGCTAGTCTACGAATGTCTGTGTGTGTCTGCTGGACTCTGTGCGGGTCTATGAATGTCTGTGCGAGTCTATGGATGTCTGTGCGAGTCTATGGATGTCTGTGTGAGTCTGCGGGTCTCTGTGCGAGTCTATGGATGTCTGTATGAGTCTGCGAGTCTCTGTGCGAGTCTACGAATGTCTGTGTGTCTGCTGGACTCTGTGCGAGTCTATGGATGTCTGTGTGAGTCTGCTGGTCTCTGTGAGAGTCTCTGGATGTCTGTGTGTGTCTGCTGGACTCTGGGCGAGTCTATGGATGTCTGTATGAGTCTGCGGGTCTCTATGAAAGTCTTTGGATGTCTGTGTGTGTCTGCTGGACTCTGTGCGAGTCTATGGATGTCTGTGAGTCTGCGAGTCTCTGTGCGAGTCTACGAATGTCTGTGCGAGTCTGTTAATGGCATGGAGACGTTCGTGGTCAGGTGGGCCGGTTTTCAGCTAATGATCAAGCCAACTTCTGCAGTTTTCTCAACAGCTGTCTGGCAGTTTTTGTGTTAAATTTCCTTCACGTGTAGTCTGGCAAGATGACTAATTGCCAAGAGTCGGTCATCGTGTGCTGATATCATCATATTCTATTCTCAACTAATTTGCAATTGTGAGCATTCTGCCGTCATATTGTAGCTTATTTTCCCTGATAAATGATGCTCAAGGATATATTTAACAAAAAATGTTCCATCCTCAAAACTACC